AATCCAAAGACACAAATCATATATCAAAAGAAGAACTTGATACAGCAAGAAATGAGATAATTCGACAACATCAATTAACGCATTTTGCCGCTGAAATATCCAGCATTAATCAAGGCAAAGAAATTAACAGGATTAGCAAACTAATTCATTTACGACCATTTATAGATAAAAATGGCTTATTAAGAGTTGGAGGCAGGCTACAAAACGCAACTATTAAATATAACCAAATGCATCCAACTATTCTACATAGAGATCAATATGCAGAATTAATAATATATCAAGCGCATCAATCAACATTACACGGAGGACAAAATTTAATGGAAGCACACATAAAGCAACAATATTGGATTTTAGGAGTAAGAAAAGGTATAAAAAAAATATGCAACAATTGCACAAAATGCATTAGATACAGCCAAAACTTTGGAAAACAAATAATGGGATATATGCCAAGCCACAGAATAAATGTATCCCATCCTTTCGAACACACAGGGATTGACTATGCCGGACCCATATATATGAAGTGCTCAAAAGGTCGTGGTCAAAAATCATTCAAAGGCTATATTTCAGTATTTATATGCATGTCTACTAAAGCAATTCATTTAGAAGCAGTAAGCGATTTATCAACAGAAGCATTCATGGCTGCATTAAAAAGATTCTTTTCGAGACGTGGGAAAAGTGCACATCTATATTCAGATAATGGTACTAATTTTATTGGTGCATTAAAAAGACTAGACAAAGAATTTGGAAATGCAATCAAAAATAATACATCAATAGTTCAAATTCTCGCAACTGAAAAAATAGAATGGCATTTTATTCCGCCGGCAAGCCCGCACTTCGGCGGTATTTGGGAAGCAACAGTAAAATCTACAAAATACCATTTAAAACGAGTAATAGGTGAGACAAAGCTTACGTTTGAAGAAATGACAACATTTTTATATCAGACAGAGGCAGTTTTAAACTCAAGACCACTCTGCTATGTAAACAGCGGAATTGATAGCATTGATGTTTTGACACCAGGACATTTTCTAATTGGGCGACCACTATTAAACGAACCAGAAGCAGAAATCAAAGAAAAAATAAATCTAGTAAACCGCTGGGAACTATTACAGAAAATGAAATCAGATTTTTGGAAGAAGTGGAAAAAGAATATGTGACGTCACTTCAACAAAGAAATAAATGGATAAAAGAAAAACCAAATATGAAAAAAGGGCAAGTAGTAATCATCAAAGATGAAAATACAGCAGCTGCTAGATGGCCATTGGGGAAAATTACTGAAGTATATGCCGGGCCGGATGGAAAGGTGCGAGTAGTAGAACTCAAAACGGGGAATGGAAAACTAAAAAGACCAATTCACAAACTATGCCCTCTACTAGATTCCAACGCAATTCGAGGTGATCAACAAACAGGAACACAAAGGTTTATTGCAATGCAAATACGAAAACTGAGGTAAAATCCGACAGTACAAAGTTAGCATGGACTACTTTGTATTTTTTGATGTTATGCATATTACCAGCTGTAAAAGCAATAACGAATTCATCAGGGGCCTCAATACATAAACTGAACGATAAGACAGCACTTTACTTGGACACAATTGGTGAAGTCAACACAGAAATATCAGCTTGGAATTTAATATTATATTACGATATGAAACAATACTTTATAATGACCAAAAACGCAGAAGATGTACTGAGTAACGCAAATGAAATATGTCCTAAATTATCAAACTTCGCAGAACAATGCAAAAATATTCTAAGTACAATGTCCAGAAAATTGGAAGAAATAAAGGAAGGAAATAAATTATTTATATGGTCAATAAAAGGTAGAACTAAAAGAGCGCCATTTGCATTTGTTGGATCATTTTATCACCTTCTTTTTGGAATGATGGACGAAGATGATCGAAATGCTCTAGAAGAGAACATGAATAACCTATTAGATAATCAACATGATTTAAAACAATTAATAGCGAAACAAACTTCAGTGGTGGAAACAACAGTAAATTTATTGAAGCGCACGTCAAAAGAAGTACACCTGCAATATAATGAAATTCATACAAAAATTGAGGCAATAAAAATCGCCTTGAATGAAACTTATTTTGTCTATAAAGAATCGATCAATTTTTTTATGGTTACAAAACAACTATCAGACTTAATAGAAGAATGCTCTAACATACAATCAGAAGTAATTCAACTCTTAATGGATGTCAATCACGGAAATTTAAATCCAAAATTAATAAAACCATCACAACTAAATGAAGAGATAATAAAAATAAGAGACAAAATTCCGGAAAACCTAATATTACCTGGAAAAAAAACTGGGACAGAATTGGAATCTATTTACAAACTCTTAGAAGCAAAAGGGATATTTTTTGGTACCAAATTAATTATCAAGGCGAAGATTCCACTGTTTAATAAACAATCATCTACCCTATACCAGATAATCCCTATACCAATTAAACAAGGAAAAAGATACATCATTCCGAAGATTACATCGTCACTATTATTATATAACTTGGAAATCAATGCTTATCATTTAATGAACCCGTTAATATGGAGTCAGTGTAATAAAAATGGAGAAAATTAATTTACCTGTGAAGGAAATTTCCCATGGACAGATGCAAACGATAATTCATGCGAAATATCTCCACTAAAACCAACCAATCAAGACAATTGTTATTACAACGAAGTAAGCAATTCTTCTGTTTGGATCAAATTACACAAAAAGAACAGTTGGATTTATAAGGTCTTTAAGCAAGAATCTGCACACATAAAATGCTCATCAACATCAGACGAAATAATTACTATATCAGGACAAGGGGTATTATCATTAAAAGAAGGTTGTATGGCCCGCATAAAAGAAACAACATTAACATCATCAAGCAACTTGCAAAGTTCTACAATACTGAATATAAACAGTCCGGTTATAAAAGAAGCAGATGCGGTCGGAATGAATAATATAAAACCCTGGCGTTATTGGCAAATAAATAACAAAGATGAAATTGAGATGCTACATACACAAATTAAAGAAATCAAAAACAACGGGGTCAAATTAAAAAATTTACACTTCCATCACGCATCCGGTCACGCAGCGCTTGGTTTGACAACTATAATAATTATAGCAATAATTATTTATTTGATTCGAGCAACAATGAGAAGAAGGCGACTGCTGGCAATTGCGATATCAGCTCAGCGTCAGAATGTTCATGAATGAACATACTGTAAATTATATTATTATTATTCAATACTACTATTCCAAAACATTATTATTTTACTATTATGCTACATTATACTTTAATTTAAAAAAAAAATATTAGATAATCATTCATGTAAATTCTTATAATTTTCTTTTATTCTATATAGTTACTAAAAAAAAAATATATACATACTTAAATATTAAAATTTTTTTTTTTTAAAAATAAAATTCTTATAAAGCTAATGTATAGCATATTAAATTAAGATTAAACCTTTATATTATATTTAAGAGACTTTTTATATTAAGCCGTTCCGCCTTAATAAAGGCGCGGCAGTATGTTCAATAATGAACATATTTTACTTTAATTAAACTAATATTCAATTTTATATTTATATTATATTAAGCCATTCTGTCTTAAAAAAGCGTTGGCAATATGTTTAATAATGAACATGTTATTTTAGGACATACAATCCTAAAACTATTAAAATTAAAATTGTATCTTTTTTCAAACGCTGGCAGGATGTGCCTAAATTTATAGTTATTTATTAATGTCTGTTATCGTTTAAATTCTTAGAATTAAATAAGAAGGAAAAAACACGGGTAATAAAAAAATCCCAAAACTAAAGATATTGTAGAATATTAAACACATTTTAAAATACATGGCACCGTATCGATAATAAAAATATAATTGTAAAATAATAAAAATCCTACGTGCCAGAATTTTATTGTATCCTTTTTGTTATGAACCTTTGCGACAGCAATAAAATGCAACTAAAATTATACAGTCCACTAAAATAAATGATAACAGGCAACAAATTATTTCAACCCTTATTTGTAAATGTAGTTAAGTTATGTTAAGACAATTTTGTATAAAAAGAGAATAATTTTCAAAATAAAATCAGTATTCAATTCGATACTCTAGCGAAAGCATTTCTCTTTCATTTCAAAAATTAATCATTTGGTCCTTCGAGCCTAGGAAATTGGCTAAGGAAAATTTTTTAAATTTTGAAATATAAAAGTCATAGTGATCCCCCACCAGAGGTAAGACACTTGACTTTGTTAGAGCCTTACAAACTCTAACTCAAAATTTTTCAGAGCCTTACAACCTCTGAAAAATAAACTCGTTCGTCAAGAACAAAAAATTAGTTAAAAGTGATCGAGGCAAGACACTTGACTAAAAATTCAAAAGTATTAAGGCTGTTCAAGAACGCCATTAAAACCAAAGAGCTGATCCTAACAGCTTATATAATAAAATAAAGCAGTTTCAAAGAAGGAAGGCGTTTGCACTACTATACCAAGAATTGCATCTGCAAACAAATAAAGAAGATAAAATAAAAATTAAAAGAGAAATTAAAAAATTACGAAGAGAAAAAAAAAAATAATAATAAAAATTTAAACTAAAAAATATCTTTCCTTTAAAAAAAAAATGGGTCTATTAACTAATACACAGAGCGAATTAATCAAAGACCAATATAATTTGATCAAAAAACTAGAAGAACTATTCAAACAGGCAGAAGGAATAGTAACAAGGAGTAAAAAAAAATGAAGTACTAGAATTACTAGAAGAAATATGGAAAACATTCTCGGAGAATGATAAAAAATTATATAAGTTAGGTATAGAAGATATACCATATTTCAACGAAGGGGTAGGAAAAGATATGTTAGAAAAATATACTAAAGCAAAAAAATTACTGTCAAATACAGAAGAATCAGAAATAGACAATCCAGAAGATTCAGAAATAATCACACAAGAATTCAAAATAACGAGAGAAAAAGCAGGAAAAGACAAGGAAATGGCTAGAGATAAACTAGAAAATTTGATGAAAAGACTAAAAGGACTAAAAGAAATGATTAAAGAATTTAGAACAGAAGCAATGAAACGAAGTGTGCTAATTCGAATAATAGAAGGAAATTATTAGACAAAGACCAATTAAGTAATATTAATGAAAGGTATGAGATGATAAAGGAACAGGCTAAAGTATTTTTGGATTGCAAAGATGAATTTAATCATACTAAAAATCAAGTTAAGATTGAAAAAGAAGTCATAACACCAATTACACAATTACACGATTTCGACGGAAGAGAGGAAGATTGGCAAACTTTCGTAGAATTATTTAAAGATTACGTACATAATAATCGAAATTTATCATCCTCAATGAAACTTGACTATTTAAGATCTCATATTAAAGGGGATGCGCGTATGACTATTAGTCATCTATTATCTGGAACATCAGCAAACTATGAAGCTGCGTGGGATACGTTAATAAGAAGATATGAAAACAAAAGATTAATTTTTACAAGAAATTTTGACAAATTACTTGACATGAAAACAATTAACTCATCATCAGTTTTGAGCTTAAGAGACGCTCATGATCAAATTAAACAATGCATTCAACTAATTGAATCTAAACAGGCAGAACCTAACTGTGACAGATTATACGCGCACATAATAATAAGAAAATTGGATAAAGAAGGTATTCAATTATATGAACAATATATTAAAAAACCAAGAGAAATAAACACACTAAAAGATGTATTTGAATTTCTGGAACAACAATTCCAAACTCTGGAAGCCCAAAATAGCCTTAAAACATCAAGAATAAACTATATTAATCCACCAACTGACATAAGAATTCAGAACAATACTATCCATGAAATATGCCAGTTGGGTTTGTGTACAAAATTTTTTGATTTTTGTGAATAATTTTGGCACTAAAAAAATAAGTAAGAACATTTTGAATACAAAAAATCTAAAAAATAGAAAAAAATTAAAACTATTGAGCTGTGTGAAGTACGAAATGTAAGTTTTTATTTAGTATTTACTTTAAAACTTAAATTTAATTCTATAGTAAATAAATGGAAATTGCAGATTTTATTAGAATTATCGAGCAAAACTGACTCCTCCATTTTCTTTTTAAATACTAGTTCAAGTGTATTACGCTCAAGGGATGAAGTGCATCACCAT